TTACTCTTAGCATAAAAATAATTATAGACATTCTGCTCTTTATTAAGATAATATTTGAATTTTATAAATATTTGCTAGAATTGTTTCTGTTAAGAAATTTCTCCTCTTGAGGAAACCCAAATAATCTCCAAGAATAGATTTGCTTATTGCTATCTGTTGTGCTGCCCACAAAAATATTTTGCATTCCAGTTTTTACTCCCTTTTCTTACAACAAGCATCTAGCAATAGCTCTAATGCAGGCCCTTGGAAGAGAGAAAAGGGAGGAAAGGTTGAATCAAGGGGAAAAGTTTAAATTGCAAGTGCCTTTGCTTATGGTAGCGATAAGAAGTAATCAGGAAAGTAATAACACTGATGGGACTAAATGGGAAAAGGTCCCAAATGATGAGAAGAGAAGCCAAAAATGTTTGTAGGGAAGAGAGAAGAAAATTATCATTGCTGACAACGTACCAATGATTGTAACTGATTCAGATAGAAAGGACTGGCATGGTCTATATATACATTTTAAAAAGGTAACTTTGGGCTGTAGAAATAGTATAAACCAGAAGCTTCTTTGAAGCTTTGCAAATTTTGATTTTGGGAAGTTATATGCGAGTTAAATGCTATTAAATTTCTTTGCAGTTGAATTGTACAATGTCTTAGCTGAACATAAAATGCAATGAAGTAGTATTCAGGTTTTGTCTTAAGGTTACTTGAAATCAGCCATAGTTTGTCGGGCATTGCTGTGATTATGTATCTTTAGTGCAGACGTATTCAAGGGACCTGAAAACACATTTACACATCTGAGGTGGGGAGCTAATCCTAATGAATTTAAAGACCAGATTATGTTTTTTTTTTCTAAAAAAAATGAGTCATGTTGTCAGAAAGGACAGAGATTTTATCTCCCACCATCCTTTCAGTGAGATAAAACTTTTAGTTCAATAAGCTGTTCAAAAGTGCTGAAATATAGTGCTCTGTATTGCAGTTTACTCTGCACTACAGCATCAGGAAAGAATCTATCCAGTCATAGTTGAAGCAGCCATGAATATAGCAGTGAAATGATTAAAACAAGAAAAGAAAGGTCAAGGTGAGCACAAACCTCTATTTTGATGAAACAATAGAAATGTATTCTAAGAAATTGGGTAATTCGCTGGATCTACAGAACTGGATCAATAGGTCCCTAGTACCATGTAACTGAGTGAGCTCCCATACTTCCCCCAGCTTCTGCCAACCTAGCAGTTCGAATGCGTGTAATAATGCAAGTAGAAAAACAGGAGCCACCTTTGATGGGAAGCTAACAGCGTTCCGTGCACTTTTGGCATTTAATCATGCCAGCCACAGGACCACGGAAAAGTCTTCGGACAGCGCTGGCTCTTCAGCTTTGAAATGGAGATGAGCACTGCCCCCTAGGGTCGGGAACCACTAGCACATATGTGTGAGGGGAACCTTTACCCTTACCTATAGAATTGAGGTATAGCTGCACTATGATCAAATTGTCCCAGGTCTAATTTGGTTATAAAAGAAATCCAGGCATTAAGCAGCATAATAGACACAGATATAGAGGAGAATGTCTTATACAATGAAGGGATAGCAATGTATTTATTACAATTTTAGGAAAAGTTATGATTTGTCCAATAGGAAAGATGGATGGGTCAGAAAATTATACCTTAAAGGAATAGGATGAATTTACACCCACAGCAATAAAAAAAAAAGATGGTAAACAGTAAAGTGCTGGTAAACAATAAATCTGTGACTGTTTTAAATAATTTTCTAACTCCTAAATCAAGATATTTTCAAACCTGTTATGTATTTTGGGTTGCAATAATTTTTAGATAATTGGAATCAAAATGAACATCTAACATTTATTGTGTATGCCTCAATAAATGATTGTTATAATTGTTGGATTTATTTTATTTTTCCAGTATATGAGCAAGAATCCTTAAACACAATCACTAATGTCCTAGAAGCATTAAATCTGCCCCTCCCACTTGCTAATGGCTGCTTAAGGAAAGATGTGTGTCACAAAGCAAGAAAACTGAAATGCTTTTAAAATTGTTTGCTTGAGCTAATAATAATGCTTAAAAAATAATAATGCTTATTCATTGAAGTGTTCATTGTCTCTACATTCAAAAGAATCAATGGCTTGGTGACCTGGTCACTGTCCTGGCACTTGGCAAAACATAAAGATAGTCCTCAACTTACAACTATTCATTTCATGATTGTTCAAAATTATAATGCCACTGAAAAAAAGTGATTTGTGACTTTTTTCACACTTACACTATTGCAGTATCCCCATAGTTACATGATCAAAATTTGGATTCATATTTATGATGACTGTAGTGATCACCTTTTGTCACCCTTCTGACAAGCATATGGGGAAGCCAGATTCACTTAATAACCATGCTACTAACTTAACAATTGCAGTGATTCACTTAACAACTATGGCAAGACAGTTTGTAAAATGGGACAAAACTCACTTAAAAACTCTCACTTAGTAACAGAAGCTTTGGGCTCAATTATGGTAATAAATTAAAGACTACTTGTAGTTCACTGAATTAGTCTTTTATACATTTCTGCAGTTAGGAGATAATTGTTATGAGATGTATAAAAGACTCTGGGAACGTAAAGATAACATGAGGGCCCCCACTGCATCAGAGAGGAATGCTTCAAAGAGTTAGGGATGGAATGGGGGCCGTGCTGTGATCTCTACATTCTAAGACTTTTATACATTCCATAACAATTGGAGTGGATATTTTGGATTATTTTACAACAAAAATGTTCATTTGTCAAGACTTAGACCAACATTCTACAAAGAATCCTATACATATAAGCTTTTCTTTTTTCCTCCAACTTTCACACAGCTATTTGTATGTGTCTCTCCCTCTCCAGCAATTAGGTACTGCACTGCATATTTATATTTATTTGTCAGTGTCACTCATTTGGAGATGAATAGGTAGACAGGAAAAACTAACGCTGTATGTTTGTGTGGAGAAATATTTTGTCAATAGGATAACTGATCTGATATCTCCATTTCCAGAATTTACATATAATAACTTTCTGCATTCCTCATGCAGGAATACACATGCCCATATTGCCAGCTCTGAATAAAATTTCCAGACAACCTTCTTCTCCCTTAACTGCCTCATGATCAATTTATGATCACCAGGAGGAGAAGGACTTTCCTCAATATTCCCCATGATTCCTATACTATGCAAACTTTACTGTGGAAAGTAGGGACAAATTACTGTTTCTCTGCATTCATGTATTTCAGATTATTCCATTGATCTAGATAAATGCCTACTCCTTCTTTGGGGAGAAGGGTATATTCTATTGCAAAAGGAAAAAATGAAGGAGGAAGCAATGTGATGGAATGTCTAACAGATTCTATTTATGGTGCAGAATATGCATGTGAAACCAAGACCATTATCGGAAGCAGAGCTTTTATAGAAAAATCTATGAATCTATAAAGAGGGGAAAATATGAGACGAAAAGAAACCCCACTTAATTCTGCTAGTATAAGTTGGTTCTGGCATTTTTCAAGGTTCAGTTAGATTGCGCTACTAGCAACAAATAACTGAAGAAATCCAATTTGTTCTTGTTCCTGAGTTGCCAGACTTGCAGAACTTGGCAGCTTTGGATTTCTCAGATTTAAGGCTTCTCCGGTCCCATCACCTGTTTATGGCACTGACATTTAGGACTTTCAAGATTACTTACTCAGTTTAAAAACAATTGGTCAAAATTATTGATAGGAAGACACAATGATCTCCTACATCCAAGGTTGGTGATCTACTCTTTCTCCCTCCCAAAAGAGAAGACTCCATTTTTATACAGGGAGTCATCATTCAGCAACTGCAATTGGGGCTGGAAACTCAGTTGTTAAGCAAAGCAGTCACTAAGTAAAAATTCATATGACCATGACTATGCTTACAATTTTATCTCAGCTTTCCTTTTATTTATTTTTATTGTTGGTCAAATTTATATGGCTGACCATTTCTCCTGAAGTGATTCTAGTGGCACTCAATACATTTGGGGCCACCCGTCTTTTTGTGGTTATATCTTTACAGCATGCATCAGCAAGCTACAACCACAAACAGCTGGGTGAGCCCAAGTGGCAGTGAAGGATTCCACAATTCAACTCAAAAGGAAGCTGGGTAAAAAGGTAAATCTTACAGCTCTCTCCCCCCCTTCCTATTCCTGTCCTTTGGTGTTGGGATAATTAGCAAGAAAAGAATTGATCTTTGTATTTATAGTCCTTCCAGAAAAAATAATTATAAGAGGTACGCAATAGGGAATACACATAGATACACAAATGTGCTGGATCATTTGTCTAATGCACTCATGGCTATGAGCAACATGTTGCTTAGGATTCAAAAAGGCCTTAAAATTAATTAGATATTGTCAGTGTCAAGCAGCAGCAAGAGCTAGCCAAAGAGTTTTAATCAACTAATTAAGAGCTGCATTTGCAGTCAGCATTTTTTAGGAATTTATTGTATTGGGAACAAAAGCAAATGAAGAAGAGATAGCTTTTTAGGCAATCTCTGCTCAGGTAGGGAGGGGAGTGGAATAAAATGACAGGCAAAAGACAATACATACAACTAATGACAATGGCAAATGCCTGATGACAGAGAAAAAAACAAACACTATGAGGTCATAAATATGGGCACTGGTTGCAGAGTTACTTTTTCATCACAATTGTAATGATTGCTATCTGAGGCAGTCGTTAAATGGGAATTATCTATAATGATATCCATCTGTACAATCCATTGTCAAGTTATCATTAAATGTTTTTCAACTGATACACAGAAAACAGACAAGAGGGAAATAGTGTCATTCTACTGTTGTTTCAAGCCATTTCATTTCCTTCAGAAGTTTCCCATGAAAAATTAGTATCATTTGGTGCTGTATCACTGGAATAAAAAAAAACCCTAAATGTTGTACAATTATGCTGACTTCTGAGTAGCTTTCCTAATGGATTAAAAACATTAGTATATATTAGTATATATTTTTGAGGGAAATCATTTTACCTCTTTTTGTTTCTTAATGATGACTGAAAATTCAGTGTATGGGATCTTTGGATTCAATTCACATCCCATTAAAGTTGCTCCTTCATAGTCCTTGATATAGCCTACATATTTTGCTTTTGGTACTTTAATATCTTTTGAAAAGCCCTAAGGAAAAAACAACCAATGTATTTTTACATGCTTACTGAAGACACTCTGATATTTTACAGTAGTGGTATTTTTCTTCATGTACTTGGTGACTGCAATTCAGCAACCTGACAGATCAGTTACTACCACCCTTAATTTAAATGTATGAAAATATAATATAATACATGGAAGAAACAGGATATACAATATATCTTTTCAAGGTCAGCATGTAATTCATCAGTGGTTACTATCCAGAGATAATTACAGCTCCTCTAGCAACTGTCAGAAGCTCTCAAAAACAGCAAGAGGGAGAAAATATATATTATACAGAGGCGTCACATAGCAGCAATAGAAAATACAACCGAGAATGAACTATTATTACAAGATATAGTGAGAATTATAGATTTCTAAAAAACAGAAACAAAACTACTTTAGCTTTTTAAGTGCCCAATTAATCAATTGTAACAAAAAAAAACCTTGCATGTGAAAGATTAGTATTTAATGCGAGAATGAAAACTTACACTATAATACAATTGATTAGCTTAAATTGCCAGAACACTTTGTTTTAGGTCAATTGTATATTAACAATAGACTTTAAATTCAATGAATAATAATATTTTCCTTCAGATAATAAGAATACTCTGAAAGTCTTCTTTGTGCGTCTAACAGTTATTCAAATTTTATTTTGTTACACAGGTTGAAAATTACTCCCAAAGTTCTACTTACTTGTTTCTTGAAGTAGCCAATTGCATATTCATCAGCATACGTAAGGAAATTGAGAATATTATGCTTAATGTGATATTCTTTCAGATGATTCATTAAGTGTGTTCCATAACCCTGCAAAGAAATTATGGTGACAGTTTATCAATTGAGAATTACAATGTATTAAAACTTGGATGCTTGCAGTTTGCAGCAATAAAGCAATTTAAATACAGAAATAATGTGGACCCCTAAGAAGTGTATGTGAGAACAGAAGTTTTTGTCTTCTGGCAGAAGTAATGATTATCACATTTTCTTTTCCAATTGCATGAGCTATGTTAGATCTTGCTTCCAAAAATTACTTTCAAAATAATACTTTGCAGCCAAGTCTAACCAGAGTAAGAAGTTATAACTAGCCTATCTTTCCTGAGAAAATGAATAAGGGAATACTGCAGGAAATGCTGCATCTTTGTCTGAGCTTATTTTGTAACTTGCAGGAAGGATTTTATCGACTCTATGTTTATTTTTTCTTTTATTTTTTGTTTTCTTGCTTTTTTCTACCTTTAATGAGGCACTTAATGCCACCTGCTTTTAGGGTTGATGTTATAATTTCCCGTCAGGTTTTCTTTCCCCCCGGCATCATTACTTTATTTATTTATTTATTTTGTAAGGCGTAACAGAATACAGCATTAGTGCATAAAGTTTTTTTTAAAAAGCATATAAAATGTGTATCAAAATATAAAACACCAATAGAGTGAATTATTTTAAAAATGCACAATACAAATGATGAATAAAATCATTAATAATTAAATTATGTATGGGCAATTACTAGAGTGCTTGAGCCCATGGCCAATTATCTAGGTCATTTAGCCACTGGACCACAGTGCCCTCAAGATAATGCAGGGACCAGGGAACCTTCTGAAGCGACATTCACAATGTGATGTAAAGTTTGCAGGACACTCACACAATCAGACTGCATTATTAATTTTGCATACCCATGTAAATGTAAGTTTCATTATTAGTTCACCTACTTTAGACCAAAGCTTCTTTCTTTTGTTTTGTGCCATTTTGCTTTCTTTTTACTTAAGACTGCTAAAATATTAAACTTAGCATACTGTTGAGATTAAATTTCCTTGATCATTCTGTTTGGTTAGGTTATTACTAAGCAACCAGCATACAAGAAAACCAGACATACCATATCAGGATATAATAACTTCCTGCAATGAGCAAGCATAGATCATCATTATAGTTCATTCAAGATCTATTATCTAATGATTAGTTATTCCGGCCTTTGAATACACAAAACTTTTTGAATGATTAACACACATCACATATCTTCCTAATAGAACTAATTATTTAATAAAATTTAGTAAAAAAAGAAATCATTCCATTATTATAGACAGAGTCTAAAAGTTGGGAAACTATGGTTTTTATTGCTACCACATATTTTTCAACATTATAATTAACATTATATTAATAATAATACCTACACCCCTTACAATAGGTTGTGACTTTCAATATACTTCAACCATATTCAGCTAAGATAAAAAATATTCCAATTGTGCACATAATTTCCTACTCATCTCTTTTCATCTTATATATCTCCTTATTATTTGCATTAGGACCAAACTGGAAATAAGATGGAAGACTTATATAGATACTACATTTATTATTGACAGACACATAAGTAAATTTCCTCTAAGTCAGTGGTTCTCAACCTGTGAGTTGGGACCCTTTCACAGGGTCACCTAAGACCATTGGAAAACACACATTTTTGAAAAAATACAGAAAACATAAAATAATTTTATGGTTGGGGGTCACCGCAACATGATGAACTGTATTAAAGGGTTGCAGCATTAGAAAGGTTGAGACCCCCTGCTCTAAGTGGTATAAGTAGAATTAAGTCACAAGAGAATGTTACTTTTCCATGTGTTTTATTCAGTCTTCTGGTTCCTTTTTAAAAAGTAAACTGCAATTTAGGCAGAAGAATAATTTTCACAATTTGATCAAGTTCAGGACTATGGGGTCACATAAAATCCAATTAAACCTGCGCATTGAAACACTTGTTTCAGAGGTGGTATTCAGCAGGTTCTAACCAATTCCAGATAAATTTTGAGTAGTTCGGGGAAATGATAACTGCCCCATCACCATCTATTCTGTGCCTCCCGAGTCCCACTGATCGCCAGGAAATGGAGATTTTACAGTATCCTTCCCCTGCTACACCCACCAAGCATGACCACAGAACTGGCAGTAAAAGAAATTGAATCCCACCACTGACTTGTTTGATCATGCAATTAATATTACTTTTACCTTGACTTGTTCATTAGACGTCACAGCACAGAAAACTATTTCTGTAAATCCTTGAGATGGGAACATCCGGAAACAGATACCACCAATCACACGGCCGTCCTTTATTAATGCAAGGGTCTTGTGTTTCCTGACATAAAAACCATATTACCCATTAATGATGCCCATCACTGGTGCCTTCATAGCCATAGTGATTATAAATAGAATATATTTGCATAGATTTTGATACCAATTAGTTTTATTTTCAAAAGAAAGTGTCGAGAAAACTGATACTGTGTCAATGTAAAATATTCTGATTGCATTTCTAGATTCACTTTCATATGATTATCTCCTGTCCCATATTATTATACTGGAATAAGAACTAATTTCTTCAATATGGAAACAGCTCTACTGAATAATGCCAACTTCTATTCTGTGTCTTGTTTTCAGAGAGAAGGAACATTGTCTATTAAAAGAATTAGTCTGACTGGGAAGAATTGGATTTTCACCTGTAGTTTATCAACATCATTCAAGCCTTTACCAGAATTGTAGGCATTCCTATCCCCTCTTAAATCAATTTTAAGGGCTACTTGTTTGACAAAGACAGCGAGCCAATTTTGAACTGGTCCAGGTCAGTCACACTCTCGTTCATGTTACTATCAGGGTCCATATAAACTTCTAAAATACTCCTAGCAGGGCTTGAATTAGTATGTGATTGAATGAAAAGGCTAGTAGTTTTTCTTACCAGAAAAATGAAGAATGCCTCTTCCTCCACATTTTTTATTCTGAATAAATTTCAAACAACTATCTTGATAATGTTTCAAATCTTTTGAAATATGAATCAAACATGCCTAGACGTAGCACAGAGAAGGCACACTTCCTAAGTCACAAATAGGTGACTTTTTTTTTATCAAAGGGACTTGAAGTATGCTCATCCTTCTGCTAGATGTCATGGGGCAAACAGAGTTAATTGTAGCAGGCAATCTTACAAATAGCTAAGTTTTGTGTCTTGAAGGGATTTAAGTATTAAGCAGATAAAAAGGCAGTACTAGAGATGTCTTATTGATGATTGTTTTGAAGAGCCAAACATTAATATCAGGGATGAGATTGAAAAAGTTTAGCAACCGGTTCTCTGCCCGGTTGCTGGGTAGGCATGGCCATGGTGGGCATGGCCTAATCGGCCTCCTGCACCATGGCGGTGGGAGGCACGTTTTCGCCCTCCCCAGGCTGTGGAGGTTTTCCTCAAGCCTCCAGGAGGTCAGAAACACCCCCATTTCCAGACTTCTGGAACTTCCAGAATGCCCATTTTTCACCTTCCCAGAGCCTCCGCATGGGCCCTGCAATTAACTGGCATCCAAAATGGGCTGTGTGGAGACTCCTAGGAGACAAGGGGAGGGGTGGGGGGGGGCAGTCCTTGCAACTATTGGTTTGGTGAACCAGATGTAAAATTAGCATCCAGTTCTCCTGAACCATACCAAACAAACTGAATCCCATCCCTGATTAATATTAATATTACAAGTTGATGTGATAGAAGGGAATTGTACCTGCAATTCCTGCACCAACTTTCCAGAGAATATTCTGGAAGGGAGCAAGAATTGCCCAAATTGTCCTCTTTCCTGTTCCAATTATAAATCATCTTTGTGAAAGCTTAAGTATTTCCTATTTCTCATTATTTGGAACAATCTTTACAATGAATCACTAAATGCAAATCCCAATCTTTAACTTTATCTTTTAGCCTGTCTAAAGATTGAAAATTGTATCAAAAAAATTACAAACACTACACTTTGCCAAATAGACTCCTAGCTATCTAGATACCTAACTTGTCATCTTTCTTTTGTCCCAAATCAACAATCCATAGATTTAAAAGCTTGTTTTCAACTTTTAAAAACGAACCCATTCAATAAATATTATCTCCTTTCTTGTTCTATCATTCCCTTTGAGAAAAAAATAGAGATGATACTCACGGATCAAAGACTAGACGAGTAATATACTCTTTTGGCATTCTGGGTAGCTGATGTGAAAATACATTTTGTAAACCAACTAGCCACATCATAATTTTTTTATTTGGTTTTTGATTTAAGGAATTTCCGACCACATGAAATTCAATCACTCCCCTACGCTCCTCCAATCTTGCAGCTTCATCCCGAGCTGAGTGTGCAGACAGAAAATTAGTCTGCTTTAAGAAAAAAAAACAATGAAAAATGATTCAACATTTATTTTAGGAATCCTTTTTTCCCCTTTTCATATATAGTTAATACATATCTCAGTAAACAGAGTTGGAAATCTTATCCATCTGTTTTGATGACATTTACTTCTGTTCAAGGTTGTATCTCTAACTGAATAAGTAACATACCTGAAAAATATCCAGCAATTCAGATTAAATATTTAATAAATTATTTGGCTAGATGTTTATCATGTGAAAAAATGTTTCAATAATCCATTACAAGTTCTTGCTAAATAAAAGAATATTTCTGTCAATCAGCTTATATCTAACTTTTTTTAAAATGAAAAATCTCACATAATTCTTACTTGAAAAGTACAACAAGATAACATTCGACATTACTTGTGTCCTTTAATACAGCGGTCCCCAACCCCTGGGCCATGACCGACACTAGTCCACAGCCCACCAGAAATTGGGCTGCCTAAGTGAGTGAAGCACCATCCATGCATGCACAGGATCCAGGCAGCACACGGAACCATACACATACACACCCAGCCCTTGGAAAAACCTTCCCCCATGGAAGAGTTCCATGGCACCCAAAAGGTTGGAGATCGTTGCTTTAATATATCTTCTCAATTACAAACATCTAAATTTAGATAATGTTAGACCAGAGGTGGATTCCTACTGGTTCAGACCGGTTTGGCTGAGTAGATAGATATAGATAGATAGATAGATAGATAGATAGATAGATAGATAGATAGATAGATAGATAGATAGATAGATAGATAGATANGATAGATAGATAGATAGATAGATAGATAGATAGATAGATAGATAGATAGATAGATAGATAGATAGATATTTTATTTGTATGCCACCCTTTTCCCTGGGGGGACTCAGGGCAGCTCACAGTTCAGTAGGTAGTAACTTTACTGGCCATGCCCCTGACTTGTTCTATTGTGATCCATGATGCCGCCATCTTGTTTTTTGCTTCTGCACATGCACAAAAGTAGTTTTATAGTACTGTGCATGTGTACATAGCACATATCCACACATACAGCGCATCCCTGACTGAATCGGCAGTAGTAGCAGCCGGAAATCACCCCGGCTGAGAACTAAGACAACTATGCAAAGAATGCCTTCTTTGACAACTTAGCTGACTAGCTACATACAAAAGTTGCCCAATGCATAAATTCTGTCCCTTCATCCTTTCTTACAACTCTACTAGCTCTTGAAGATCCCTGGGACACAAAGATCTAGTAAAAGGTAAACAGGAGTGTGGAAAGCAAAAAGAACCAAGCAGTCACATTTTCTGTCAAGTTCTTGACAATGCTTAGTGGAGATAGAAGAAAAAATGGGGGAAGCAGAGGAAAAGTATCTAAACTAAACCAAATAAATGAGAATTTAATATTCACTAATCCTCAAATTAATCTAATGAAAATATAGATGATGAGCTATGTTACGGGATAAAGTTTAGAGACAGACTTTGGATCCCCTTATTGTTTTCTTTTTTATATGATTTGTTTGATTTGATAGGATACAATTTATTTGGATCATTTTATATGCTGAGTTTTTAATTGCAAGCTGCTTAGCATCATTTAGGAGTTGAGCAGACTATAAATTAAGTAAATCTAGCAAATTACTCTAAATTCATGAAACATTATAAATTTTCTTTACATGACCTTCGTTAATTTTTTTCATATGTATGGATATGTAGTATAATCCACATGAACAATTCCCTTTCTAAATATGAGCACATTTTAAAATGAAAATCATAAAACTAGGTCACATCCAAAAAGACAAGATGCTTGAATGAAATTATGTGCCAGCTATGCCATTAAAAATATCCTTTAAAATTTATTTTTAAATTTGTCATTTTCTAGTGTATACATACAATACTTACATTTTGTATAAGTATAAATACTAGCAGCTTGATGTATTTGGCTACATTTTACTACTTTTAATAATCCCAGAATTCTTAGCTATGGCTATATTGAGTAGGAATTCTAGGAATTAAAATCCAGGCAATATGAGGCACCTACTTAGGCTGAATTCTATTAATGTATTAATAATGAAAAACCACCTTTAAATTAAAATCAATTCAATACTGTTGAAATTTTAAAAAATGTCTTGGTATGACAATATACCTATTGATACTGTAGTTAGAAAATATAATATGCTATCCTTATATTTGACATTAATTAATTCTGAAAAGTACATTTCTCACCTCTGGACCAAGCATTGCTGTTGGATCTGTAATAGTTGACATCACTTCATTGATCAGTTCAACAGGAATATCTCCTATAACCCGTGGCTTCTTAGCATTCTCTGCAGAATAACCTTCATTGTTTTTTCTTTTTTCTCCTAAATAATGAAGTTGAAACAAAATAATTATTTAATAAAATAAAATCCAAATGTTGTACATTACCAATACCCAAAAAAATATTGAATTACTTTATTCATTGTTGAAAAATATTTGATTGTTGAGTTAAATAAGCTATAAATCTCAGTAGCAAACAAATTATATTCAACAATAACAGAAATTCAGCTGCATTTACCACCTTATCAGTGTTCAACTCTCCATATTATCAATGTCTGGGAGGCTCCCTAAGGATTTAGAGTTCATTGGGAGCTAAAACAAAGAATGCCTGAAATCTTTTATATACCTCAAAGTTTTTTTAGGGAGCATTTAGGCTCTTTGAGTTAATATAAAGGATGTGAAGGTTCAATTCTAGCAAGACAATATTTGATTTAAGTCAATGCTATACCAGTTCTAGGTCTAAAATATACTTGCTATGGAAGCTATAAATATAACCAAATCTGAACCCAATCCACTAAAACTCTTCAGAGAATAACAAAGGAATATCATAATTATCATTCAGTTTAGCATTCAGACAATGGACTAAAATAATTTCTCTTTTATAAAATTTTAGTCATTCATTGATCCTCAATATGGCTTGTAGCCACATTACTTAGTATTTTTATTTTACTTGAAAACTAAATTAATTTGGGACATGATAAAAGATCATTACATACATTGTGGTCTTGCTTGCATTAATATTTATATGGCTACTCCATAATTTTGGTAAATACAATTCACTAGTGTATTGATCTACAGTATTTTAAAATATGTTTGTATAGTGTTGTTGCCCTAGCTTTAATTCATAGTTGGCCTGTTTCCATATATAAATATGCCATAGCTCTTCCTGACGGCAATATGAGATGATCATCTGCACAATCATTAAAGCAATTATAGTTGTTGCATCAAAACTCTGTACCTCATTTATCTACAGAAATTGTGAAAAACACTTTATTCCTATAAACTCTTATTGATATGGCAGTATGGATCCACAGCATTATTATTCTTCACTTTGTATGTATTTTATACGATTATTTTTTTTTAAAAAAACTCTATAATATTTACAATTAGCAAAACAAACTCAATCCTTTGCTATTTATATTACCTAGGTTTTGTTCCTGGCCAGAAGCAGATTTGGAAGCAGGACTCATAGTTCCTCCACTGGGTTGTTCCAAAGTTGAGGGACTAGAACTATATGAAACAGATCTCACCATAGGCGGTCGGTTAATAACTAATAGAGAAAGAAACCCAGAGTTAAGACACTTGAAATCAAGATCCAGGTGGATGTAGCATCAAAAAAACCTCACACTTATAGAAATACTTCCAGCGTAAGGTAAGAATCTATATAACCATCAATATAGGTTTATCAGCCCTTTTAAAGGACTCGACTTCCAACCATTTGTTTAGCAACAATTCTAACTTATAACAGCACTGATAAAAGTGTCTTATGACTATTTTTCACATTTAGGCTTAATGATTTTAGAACTTTAGAATTAAGTTTAGCTAGTATTTTAAAGCCTGGAGTCTAACTGCACTGGATACCTGCCAATGATGTGAGACAGCAAGTCATATACGATAGCAACAGAAAAGAACTCAAAGAGAAAGACTAAAGAGAAGAACAAGCCTGAGATGCCACAAAGAGAAAATTCCAAGCATTCTGAACATTCTAAGGTGGCAGCAACTTCTAGACAACTGAAACTAAAAGATTTATTCTAGCACAAAGATCTCCTTTTTCCCTTTCCCTCCCTCACAATCTTCACCAATAAATCTTACGCCCTACATGACTGGGAAGAGGGTGATTTCTCTTCTTCCGAAGATGAAGTTTCCACAGGAGAAAGAGAGAACATCTTTAAAGCCACAAAAAACTGAAATGTGGATGCAGATTTGGTTGCTAAGAACTGCCCACTAACTGCTAAAACAATTATTGCAATTTTAACCAGCTATTAAATGTCAATCAGAAAGTAGATAAACTTAAAGCTACAATGGAAAATAATATAACTAAATCTGACTTGAAGCCAGTCACCAATCCAGCTGCTCCAGAACTCTCTCAAAATACTCACATATGCACAAGTCCTCATATATATGGAAATTGCCAAGGATAAGCTAGTTTAACAACGTCACAGGATTTTGCTGCAGGTGGCAATTAATCCTCTCAACAAAGTTAGGTGGGAAAATAAAAGAATAGTACTTTACTCCCTTTCACAACTGCTTCCCTGTAGAGTATATTCCAGCCAAACTTACTGAAATCTCCTGGCTCCATATGGCAAGGGTCTTGAAAGAATAAAGCTAGCTTTTAGTCATTTAACACTCTCTTCGAAGATCTTTAAACAGATATTTCTTAAGGGGCTTTCAAATTATACCTACATGTGTACAGCCTCTGCTAAACTTGGGGAGGAAAGCCAATCAAATAAGGGAGGGCAGCAAGTCCCTGAGCTGATGAAATCAGCCAGCCAATACCTATACAGCAGAATGTTCCACCAACTCCAAGGTTAGACTCAGATAAGCACAAGAGGCATAATGCCCTTGATTTAATTAAAACAAAGATACTGACATCAGCCGACTCTATGGAGGATGAGGAAGAACTAGGACAGTTATTTAGCGACCTCCCTAGGAAAAGCAACAAACCATCATATATAAGCTTGAAGCAGTCAGTGACTCTTGCAACTGAGTCTTCCAATACTCTACTACCCCCTAGCTGCTCTTTTGCTGAAAAGCTGACAAGCTCATTTTCTACTAACCCCACAAAACAAAACAAAACAAAAAAGAAACTTTAGCCCCAAATCACATTGTGGGCAGACAAACATCACAACAAAAGGAAATCAATGTGGTGAAGAACTTAATGGATCAAGCAAGCTACCTTGCCAAGTAGAGACCTCAAGTAAAAACCAAGTCATGAGCTATTGATTACATTTGAATACATTATGTTCTATTGTTCTCATATCTGCGTCATCACCAGCAGTAGTGGGAATCACAGATCCAGAGACACCTGTACCAGACCTGAGTCTGTGGAATACTGACCCTCATGATAAAGAAAAACAATTACAATCTAGGAAGAAGGAAGTTGAACCTCAAAACAACTGTGTATATACAGAGGTATTGTTATCAATATTGATACTGATACTGCTTTGACATTTCTAATAAAACTATTTCTTTAACAGCTCATCTTAATAATCAACACCATGAAGTAACCTGTGACTCCACTGTCCCTCATGATCTGCCTTTAGCAGTTGCCACTCCTGGGAATTCAGACTGACAATTGTATGCGCCTAAATTCCTAACTATCTTTTCATGAAATGCCAAATCTTAAGACTTTGTATTTACAAATTACATTGCTGAATTCTCTTATGCCTGCTTCAAGAAACTTGGCTTGACAATAATCTGTATGTTAAATGGGTACAAATCCCTTTCACTTTCACAAGTTGCTGGAGCAGGATAAGGCAGATAGTGTGGCAGTTTAAGTACAGATAGTCCTCTATTTACAACAATTTATTTAGTAACTATTAGAAGTTACAATGGCACTAAAAAAGTGACTTAAGACACTTTTTCACACGTATCCTCATGGTCATGTGATCAAAATTTGGATGATTGGCAACTGACCCATATTTAAGATGATTGCAGTCACCTGGGGTCATGTGATCACCTTTTGCAAACTTCTGACAAGCAAAGTCAATGGGAGAGCCAGATTCACTTAACAACTGTATTACTAACTTAACAACTACAGTGATTCACTTACAACTGTGGTAAGAAACATCATAAAGTGGGGCAAAATTCACTTAACAATTGTCTAATTTAGCAACAGAAATTTTAGGTTTCAGCTGTGATCATAAGTAGAGGACTATCTGTACACTGTATGCACTATTATTAGGCAAGTTGTATTTTGGAGGATTAATTTTATTATTGAACAATTACAATGCTCTCAGTCAATCCAAAATGTTAATAAACCTCAAACCTGAATATTTAAGAAAGTAACAGTGATATTTTGGCTTTCTTGGGAGTACATCTATGTGTGCATAATTATTGGGCAACTATTAGTGTGCAGAATTATTATACAACTAAATGAAAAATCAAAATTTGCCCATCTCACTCATTTGTGTCTATTAAAGAGAATAATAAACAAACAACTCAAAATGTACAAATAAACATTTCTGGCAGTTCAAAAAAAATCAGTGACCAATATAGCCACCCTTCTTTTCAATAACAGTCATAAGACTTCAATTTATGGAGTCTGTCAGTTTTTGATCTGTTGACGATCAACGTTTTGTGCAGCAGCAACCACAGTCTACCAGACACTATTCAGAGAGGTGTACTGTTTTCTTTCAGTGTAAATCTCCCATTTAAGAAGGGCCCAAAAGTTCCCAACAGGGTTTGGGTCAGGTGAGGAACGGGGCCATGTCATTATTCTTTCATCTTTAATGTTTTTACTGACTAGCTACACTGTGGAGTATTTGATGCATGTGATGGTGCATTGTCCTGCATAAAAATCATGGTCTTCTTGAAAGATGCAGAAAGTGTTTTCTAAAAACTGGCAATAGGTTTGGGAGTTGATTTTAAATCCATCTGCAACCCGAAAAGGTTCAACCAGCTCATCTTTAATAATACCAGTCCAGTACCAGTACCCAATACCAGTACCCCATCTCCACCTTGCTGGTTTCTGAGTCGAAGTGAAACTCTGTGCCTGTTATTGATCCAGCCACAGGTCCATCCATCTGATCCATTAAGAGTGTCATCTCATCAATCTATAAAACCTTTGAAAAATCTGTCTTCAGATATTTCATGGCCCAGTCTTGTTGTTTCAACTTATGTATCCTGTTCAGCCTTTCTTACCTTGGCCATGTCTCTGAGCACTGAATGTCTTGTACTTCTGGGCACTTCCGTAGATTGAAATTCTAGAATACAACAGCACTGGAGTATAATGGGTTTCTGGTAGCTTTTGGCACATCTTTTTTTTTTCCTCACCAAGTTTCTTGTGACCCTGTTGACTATTTGCACCAAAACATGATCATGCCCCTATATTTTAGCAATTTAAAGTGTGCTGCATCCCTCTGAAAGACTTTGTGCAGTTTTCTGAATTTTTAGATCAGTTAAGTATCTTTTTTGGCCCATTTTGCCTTAGGAAAAGAAGGTGCCTGATAATTATGCATACCTTGATATAGGAGGTTGATTTTTTTAAACCACACCCTCCCTTATTACACAAATACTCATCAACTGATATGCTTATATCCACTAAGCATTCAAGTTTATTTGGCATGGGGTTAGAAAATATGTATAAAAATGATATGGTTAAAATAGTCACTTGTCTAATAATTGTGCACATCGTGTATATAAGTCTCAATTAAGCAATGCCTAAATGTTATACAGCTATATCCTATGAAGCATTATGCAATGTCTATGCTGTTAAAATTTAATAATGTTAAATTATTACTGTTTATCTTCCATCATCCCTAAACAGATCCCAATTTAATAGTTTATGGTCCAAATTTGAAGCATTGGTAAGTATTCTCATATCAAATAATACCTCATCTTATGTAATTGTTTTAGGCGACTTCATTGCAAGGTAGGATTGAGTGATAAGACACTTTTCACTCAGTTCCATCAAACCAGCTGTAATGTCCCCCTATATTAACCCAAAATTTCACGGATTTAAAGGATATTACAAGGGATTGTGCCTTCTACAAACTAAAACCAAACTAATTCTTCATTTATTGAATGGATCTTTCAGTACCCATGATAAATTCTCTCATTGGGCCGGTTCAAGACCATCTCCCTTATTGATTATACTCTAGTCTTACAGAACTTAATTATGTCTGAACAAATTTTTTACTTAGCTAACCAGCCTGAAAGCAATCACTTCTCAGACATGCCAATCATAAAAGCACTTAATAACTGTTTTACAGAAATAGAACTTATTGCAATTTCGGAAGTGAATTCAAAACTCCGAATGGTCTGTACAAATGGTCTTAACAACCTAGTAAGCAAATCTCTCACCTGCTTCAATTTGAAGCAGTGATGCATCTCCATTCTACTACAGTCAAAGAGAGATTTGAGAACTCACTCTTACAAACATTCTCCCAATTAGTGCAGTTATTCCAGCCAGTAATTTCCACTTAAATCTCAAGGAAGAGAGAAAAACAAACAGGTAGGATTTTTCTCTCTCAGCCCTGCTCTGGCATAGAATGTCTTGAGGCCAAGAGTAAACTCATCAAGGGATCCAATTTATATAAAGACAAACCA